TTTTTTTTTTTTTTTTTTATAAGTGCAATCGAGTTAAATATTTATACATGGATGGGACATGCAGCACATTGATAAATTGATGCACTCATATATTAGTATACTTCAAAGCACATGCTTGTTTCGAAAAAAAAAATTGGCGGTGCTCTTTAAGATTATAATATATCTATTGCATTTAAAATATGACATTTATGTGAATACACCATAATAATAGATTAGTTTGTTTCGATCTCCTAGCACCTCAGCACGCAAAGCGTTCTTGCAATCGTTTTCTGCAAAAGTGAAGGATTTGACGTTATACTCAACATTACTATACGTTTTTAAACCACGTTCTCGAAAGAAAGACAAAAAAATATAATTTAAGCATATGATAAAGATATACGAATGAATTTTTTCCCCGTTAAGTTAACATCACATGTCCGAACGATCACAGAATTGGGGAGTATGTATTACATTTGGTTTTGCAAACAGAATAGTAGAGAGAAATATATAAAGAAATAACGTGTCGTTAGGTTTGTTCGTTTGTAACTTCGTTACATATATTATACTGACGAAATTATCAGCTTTAACCCCTTAACGCGCATTTAAATGAAAAATTTCGTCAAGAAAAAGAAAACCAGTTCTTTATTCGCGAAAATCTTATTTGAACGTAATTTAGGGATACAAGATGTTACAACAATGATTATAAATAAAGTTAAATTATATGACTTTTTATATAATATATATAAGTTGTGTAGCTTTCATGAGATGATTTTTCATTGCTCGAGTCTATTCAAGCATGTGCATTACGATAACATAAAATATGATGCTGCTCGAGTTAACTTCTTCTATTATCACTCGCTCTTCGAATTTAAATTCGAATGTGCGCGTTAAGAAGTTAATACCCCTGTCAATTTATATAACACAGTTTATCGTTTTAAAATAGTAAAAATATATAGTTACAAAATTGTTAAGCATAACAAATCCATTCACTTACTCTAAAATGTAGAGCAGTCTGAAGTGACTCCTTTTGTACAAAATCGAACAAACCCACGACTTCTCAATCACAATGTAGTATCTTAATTAAGCGCATCTAAAAGAAACAAAAGAAAAGTAACAGATAAATTAAATTCATTCTACCATGTTTT